TAAAAGCAAGAAGCTCCTCATGAGCCGAACTCTTGCAATTTTGGCAGGGCCGTGTGGTCTTTGAGGACGTGGCCATATTTTTCTCCCAGGAGGAGTGGGGCCTCCTTGATGAAGCTCAGAGACACCTGTACCATGCTGTGATGACGGAGAACTTGGCGCTTCTGTCCTCTCTGGGTAAGGTCCCCACACTCACCCTGCGTCCTGGGCTGGGCTCTGTTCTTCCTCTTTTCCCAGGGGCATTTCCGACCTCCTATGATGAGACCACAGGTCCTGCTTCCTGTCCTAGTTTTCTGGCACTTGTGTTGTTGGGGCCGGGGCCAGGGCCAGGGCTGGGCTGTGTGTACAAGTCATTGGTCTCTCCAAGCAGCCCTGTCCCCAGTGCTCTGAGACCTTGTCAGACAGGGCTCAGGGTCAGAAGTCTAGATTGGGCCTGAGAACCCCCTTACCTGGCATCTTCCTGGTTGAGTCATTCAGTGTAGATGCTTGGAATGTTGGTGCCCTCGGCCTTCCCTCTTCCTCTTGCTGACATTTCTGAGGGCTGCCTGTGCCAGGAATTTCAGGCTACATCCTAGTTACTCATTTGGGGGACCTCTGAGTTGTTTCTACAATCTCCCTTGTGAAGTATTTTTATTTTATTTTATTTTATTTTATTTATTTTATTTTATTTTATTTTACTTTATTTTTACTTTACTTTACTTTATTTTACTTTATATATTTTTTAAGGGAAATACTGCAGATTGAACCTGGGCCTTGTACATGCTAATAAGCATGTAGTCTACCACTGAGCTATACCCACTACCCCTTATAATTTTAGAATGTCAGACATCCTGTCTTGAATGTCTCTGCACATGTGCTGGCTTACACACAGAACTGGCCTCTTTCAGGTGCCACAGCAGTGCTCACCTTGAGCAGTGGGAAGGACCTCAGGTGCCTGAGTGGGTGGACATTACAACTTCAGTGGCAGCAGATGCTCAAAAGTACCCAGCCTTGGTATCAAGTTGTTGGAAATTGCTGTGATGTCAGAGCTGAGAACTTGTGCTGTGTTCACCTATTGTCCACACTTCATTTCTTCCTTTTCTTCCCCATTTGTTTCTTCTGCCACACTCCCACCACCCCTGTGTGGCCTGCTCTTGTCAAACGTCCCCTTTCATCGCTCCCTTTGCAGGGTTCTCCAGTATTTGACCTGTACGTAAGGTGTCACGAGGTCTGCACGTATTCTTACATCGTCCTTGAACTGCAGCGTCTCTTTTGTAGTCAGGTATTTGTAGGTCTACACAGTGCTCACCGGTCACCGGCAGCTGTGGCAGTGTCAAAAGCCATCTGCAGAAGACTGACTTGGAGGCCTGCCTCTCCTCCCTGCTGTGGTCTGAATGTGCATCCCCCTAAAATTCATAGGTTGAAAACCTTGTGCCCACTCGAGGTGACAGTGTTAGGAGGTGGGGCCTTTAAGCATGATCAGGTCATGGATGCAGAGTCCTCCAGAATGAGGCTGGTGCCCTTAGAAAGGGCCCGCAGAGCTTCCCCGCTCCTTACACCGTGTGAGGGCCCGGCGAGAGGCCTGCAGCTGGAAGAGTGCGGGCTGATGTCTGGGTGCAGCCCGCAGGGCTGTGAGAAGTACCCTCCTGCTGTTTATAAGCACTTGTGGTGTTTTGTTACTGCATCTCAAATGGACTAAGGCGGTGCCTCTCCCTTCTGTCCTGACCTGTCCGTCAGGACTCTCATCGTGGGAGCTACCCAGGCCATCTCTGCACAGCAGGCCTCCCTCACTGGCTCTGGTTCTGGGTGTGTCCTGATGGGGCTGCCCTTCCATCATGATCATCACATCTTTCACCAGAACTTCTCTGCTTACAGGTTTTTGGCCTGGAGCCCAGGATGAGGAGGCACTTTCTGAACAAGGTGTTTCTGTCAGAGTGTCAGAGGTCAGGACACTAAAGCCGGGTCTGTCCACCAGGAAGGCCCTGCCCTGTGAGATGTGTGACCCAGTCTCCAAAGACCTTTTGCACCTGCCTGAGCACAGCACTGATCAAGGGCTGTATGTTTGTAGAATGAACCTTTCCCAGCACCAAAAGGGGCAGATGAGAGACAAACTTTCCAGAAGAGATGAGAGGAGGGCTTCACTCCTGACCAACAGCAGCGAGCACATGGCAGAGAGGACCTGGATGTGCAGCGGAGACAGGAAGGAGTTCCACAGCAGCACAGGCCCCCTCCAGCAGCTGGCCCTGCACAGTGTGGGGAAGCCACACAGAGACCCTGAGGGCAGGGAGGTCATCAGCAGTGGACAAAACAATTACAAGTGCGCTCAGTGTGGGAAAGCCTTCAGTCGAAAACAGACACTTGCTGAGCACCAGAAAATCCACATGGGTGTAAGGCCTTATGAGTGCAGCAACTGTGGGATGGCTTTCATTAGAAAGTTTCACCTTGTCCAGCACCAGAGAATCCACACTGGGGAACGGCCTTTTCAGTGCAGTGACTGTGGGAAACGCTTTAGGTACAACTCCACACTCATTAGTCATCAGAGAGTTCATACTGGATTAAGCCCTTATGAGTGCAGCAAATGCGGGGAATTCTTCAAGTACAATGCCAACTTCATAAAACATCAGAGACTTCACGATGGAGAAAGCCCTTATGAGTGCAGAGAATGCGGAAAATTCTTTAGGTACAACTATCGACTGATAAGACATGGGAGAGTTCATACTGGAGAGAGACCTTACGAATGCAGTGAATGTGGGAAATTTTTCAGGTACAGCTCCACATTCATTAGACATCAGAGAGTTCATACTGCAGAAAGGCCTTACAAGTGTAATGAATGTGGGAAATTCTTTAGGTATAACTCCACACTCATTAAGCACCAGAGAGTTCACACCGGAGAAAGGCCTTATGAGTGCAGTGAATGTGGGAAATTCTTCAGGTACACCTCCACCCTCCTTAGGCATCAAAGAATTCATACTGCGGAAAGGCCTTATGAGTGCAGCTTGTGTGGGGAATTCTTCAGGTACAGGTCCAAGCTTATTAAACACTGGCAAAATCACACTGGAGAAAGGCCTTACGAGTGCAGTGAATGTGGGAAATCTTTTAGGTACCACTGCAGACTCATTAGACATAAGAGAGTCCACAGTGGAGAAAGGCCTTACGAGTGCAGCGAGTGTGGGAAATTCTTTCGGTACAACTCCAACCTCATGAAACACTGGAGGAATCACACTGGAGAGAGGCCTTACGACTGCAGCGAGTGTGGGAAAGCCTTTAGCCACAAGCATATTCTTGTGGAGCATCAGAAAATCCATACTGGAGAAAGACCGTATGAGTGCAGCGAATGTCAGAAGGCCTTCATTAGGAAGTCCCACCTCGTTCATCACCAGAAAGTCCACACTGAAGCCAGTGTGAGTGCCCTTAATGTGGCGAATTCTTTAGATACAACTCCAACCTCCTTGAGCAGAGAATTCACGGCGGTAAAGACCTTATGAAACGATCTACTATATATCTCATAATAACCTGTAATGGAAAATAATCTTTAAAAGAATATATATATTCTTATATATTCTCTGTGTATATAAAACTGAGTCACTTTGCTGTACACAGTGTTTCAGGTGAAACGTTGTAAGTCAACTATACTTCAATTTAAAACAAAATAAAAGACCTTATGAGTTCAGCGGTTATTGTAAGTTAGGTACTGCTCCTTATGCTGGAGAAGCACCGTATGAGTTGATGTTGGAGTGGGCCTTACAAAGATAGAAAATGTGGTATTGTTTGGTACAGCTCCCCACATCAAGAGTTCACAGTGGAGGAAGGCCTTCTGATTGCAGTGAATGCAAGAGTAGTTGAAACACCAACCCCACGACACAGCAGAGATTTCACAGTGGGGAGGGACCTAAGTCCAGTCATTCTGGTCACATGTTCAGCCAAAAGTTCCACTTCAGCACCAAAAATTTCATGCCAGAGGAAGTGTTGCAGATGGGGAAGACTTCAGCAAAATGCTTTAGTCAACCTCTAAGAGCCACTCTAATACAGAGGGTTGTTTTTTTTTTTTTAACATTTTTGATTGTGCAAAAATATTACAAAGTTTACCGTCTCCCCTTCTAATTGTATGATTTAGTGCAGTTAAATATTTACAGGTTTGTGCAGCTTATCTCCAGAATTCTTTTCATCTTCCAAAACTGAAACTCCATACCCGTTAAATAATATTTCTTCCTACCCACTCCCTACCTCTCCTAGCAACCTCCTCTTTACAGTCCGTGTATGAACGTCATTGCTTCAGATACTTCGTATAAGTGGAATCATACGTTTTCCATCTCTGTGACTAAGTTAGCTAGCATAGTTTCCCCATGTGAAGCGTTTGTCAGCATTTTCTTCTCTTTTGAGAAGGAATCAGAATCGACCTACTAAAGCCATGGGGAAGGGTGCTGGTAGTCGGTACAATTTTGACTAACGTTACAATATCTAGAGAAAGATCCAGATTTTATAGAGACTATTTACTAACAGCTTTATAAAGGTATTGACATATGTTAAACTGCATTTATTAAATGTGTGAAATGTATTCACTATATATGTGCACAGTGGGACCATCACCCACGTCATGATAATGATCACGTCCATTGCACACAATTTTCATTGGCCTCTTTGTCTTTTCTCTTCCAACCCGACCAACTTGTCATCTCCAGGTAAACATTGTAGATCGCGTTTTCTATAATTCTATATAAAGGGAATCCTACAGTTACTGTTGTATGACTGTTTTCACTTAGTGCATAAATATATTTTTAGTGTTATTCATGTGTGCAAAACCGTGGCATCAAATAAGAATAAGCAAGGCTCAATTACGTATTAGAGCTGCATTTTTATACGCAAATGGGCTTTTTATGTTGACAATCACTGAGAAAACTTTTTTTAAAATGGGAAGTGAAGTTGAAACTAAGTAATTTGAAATTGTTTCACATGAATTCATTATCAATAAAAGAATTTTGAACCATCTACCTAATACACAAGCTTCCACTGACACATGTTTCTAGATTTTTCCTTTGTTGTTTGACTTCTTTTTTCTAGTAGCATCTTTAACTGTGTCTTTGTGTTATAAAAGTTCTTAGGGGAGTTTTTATTTGTTTCTTTTTTTTTTTTCTTTTTTTCTTTTTTTTTTTTTCTTAGGGGATTTTTTAAATCATTTTTTGTGGTAAAATACATTTAACAAAGTTTATGATCTTACCATTTTAAGTGTGCAGTTCTGTGACGTATTGGGATGTCCAGAGGAACAGAACCGTGTGTGTGTGTGTGTGTGTGCGCGCGCGCTTGTGTATGTAGAGAGAGAGAGAGAAAGGAAAGAGGTAAGTTTTTTATTTTTTTATTTTTTTAAGGAATTAGCTGATGTGATTATGATGGTCTGGTAAGTCCAAAATCTGCGAGGTAGGCCAGCATGCTGGAAACCCAGGGAGGAGTTGCAGTTCAAGACCTTAGGCAGTCTGCTGGCAGAATTCCTTGTTTGAGTTCATCTTTATCCTGCAATTCTCAAACCAGGTGACTTTTTTGAGAAAATTAAAATTTAGAAAGGTTAACAGGCATCATAGAACAGGAAATCAAAAAAGATTTAGTTTTACAGCGAGAACTAAGAACATCACAGATGCGACTGGTCGTATTTTTAAAATCCAAATATGAACAAAATATTTAATGACAGAATTGATTAAGTCTGAAGCTTTGGTTCAGAAAGCTCATGACAGTCAAAATTTAGAGATTTGAGAGGTTGAGAGAAGAATCTTAAACTATCTAAATGTGCCTATTTTTAGGTAATTTTGGACATACAGGTTTTAGATTCTTGTCAAGAAATAGGATGTCTAGACCCTAGAAATGAACAAAATAGGAGCAGATGGAGGGACTTCGGTTTTCTCTGCTGGCATGTAAGAAGCTGGAAGTTGCCACTGCATCCTAACAGCAAGTAAACATCCGAAGACACTGGAAAATCAACCAGTCTTGTTAAGGTCATGGGGCAGAGTACAGCCCCCTCGGATCAGAGTGAGCACCAGGAGAATACAGAGAATGAAGAAACCCAGGAGCCGAGTTGAGCCCTCCCCAGGAACCCCAGTGCTGGGTAGCAAAACCTAAGCTGTGTGTGCCTTGATTGGAGGCTACTGTCATGTGGAAGATTTAGGGGGGGCTATGTAGAAGTTGTAATCCTATGTGATTAGTTATTGATGCGTATTTTTCTTTCTCCAGTTGGCCCTAGATTGGAAGTGTGGACAAATTTAGGGAAGCTGTCACTTACTAATGTTGTTTGTGCCAATCATGACACATGACAATAGGTTTTTGTTTGGCTTCCTGGCTGAAGATAGTAATCTGACTCCCTGGATTAGTTACTGTAGGTACTACGTTGGCAGTTTGGATAGGATGGCACAGATTGTGGCTTGAGTTTTGGTGTACGTTTGGTGTGACCATTGTCTATCTGTATAGTCACTCCCACCTGAACGAGGAAGAAGGTACCCACAGTAGTGAGTGTTCTTGTTTACTTAACTGGTCATGTGTTGAACGTTAGTTTATCTTTCACTCATTTTCCATCTCCCATCCTACCACTTTGGCTTTGACAGATCTTCAGTTTGGCAGTTTTTTTTTTTTCAGTGGAGGTACCAGGGATTGAACCCAGGACCTCATGCGTGCTAATAAGCATGTGCTCTACCACTGAGCTATTACCCTTCCCCCAGTTTGCTTGTTTGTTTCATTGTTTTTAAATAGTGGATGTACCAAAAATTCAAACTGGAACAGTCTGACTTTCCCAAGGGTCCTGCTCTCATTGTGTCACAGCAGGTTTATTATTAAAAAAATTTTTTTTATTGAAATATATAGTCAGTTACAGTGTGTCAATTTGTGGTGTACAGCATAATGTCCTAGTCATGCATATATATATACATATATTCGTTTTCATATTTTTTTTCATTAAATGTTATTATGAGTTATTGAATATGGTTCCCTGGGCTACACCTGAAGAAACTTGGTTTTTATGTATTTTTATATAAGTAGGTTATCATTTGCAAATCTCAAACTCCCAAATTTATCTCTTTCCATCTCCTTTCACCCAGTAACCATAAGATTGTATACTATGTCTGCGAGTCTGCTTCTGTTTTGTAGATGAGTTCGTTAGTGTCCTTTTTCTCTTTTTCTTTTTAGATTCCATATGTGAGTGATAGCATATGATATTTTTCTTTCTCTTTCTGGCTAACTGTGGTCTCCAGGTCCATCCCTGTTGCTGCAAATGGCATTATTTTATTCTTTTTTGTGGCTGAGTAGTATTTTATTGTATAAATATACCACAACCTCTTTGTCCAGTCATCTTTCAATGGATAGTTAGGTTGCTTCCATGTCTTGGCTATTGTATATAGTGCATTGCAGGTTTATTTGGGGACATAGACTTGCCATTATATTCCTCGGAGAATCCCCCAGATTTCAGACATAGTGCTCCAGGCTTCCCAGTGAGAGGAGCTACTCAATGTTCTCTTGGTAATAAAGTGTGATCATCATCACCCAGGCAGTGGAGCGTTTCCCTTTTTGCTTACGTGGCAGAGGAAGCCCAAAATGACCAAGTAGCTGTCTCAAGTTCCAGTTCAGGTTTAATAATATTACTCTTCTCCTGGAGGTTTTCTCCCTTAAGAACAAAGGCCTCCCAGCAAGCAGAACTTACTGTTGAGGAGATGAGCAGCAGAAATTATTTGAGTAGGTTTTTAGGTGTAATGTGGAAATGTAGGCTTGCCAGATTTAGTAAGTAATATCTGGCCCAGTAAAATATGATTATTTTTCTAACTCCTTGTGCATATATACACTGAAATAAAAGAAAAATATTGCATGGGACATGCTTATTATAAAATTCATTTGTGTATCTGAAGACAATATACTTGAGTTTCATACTTTTTTCTTTAATTACATTTCCCTGGTAATTTGCATCTCCTTTACAGTTTCTTGTTTTGCAGGATTTGTTTATAAAATTCCTTGTAGTTATGCTCTATATTCCATTTAGTTTGTTTCATAGCTTCCAGGGTAGTCTCATCCACCTTAGTTCATTCCTTTACCCATTGAACATTCTTTACTGAGATATAGGCTTAAAAGTGGCACTGTGAGCTGAGGGCAGATGGTGATGTCCAGTGTGGAAGACCATTACAATTTCCCCTTTGATTTTTTAAAAATCTTTTTAATTCACAGTCCTCTGAATAACAATCTTATTTTTATCGTCTTCTTTGCTAGTAGTGGGAAACTTACATCTCTTAATGCTTGTTATTACATGCTGGCTTATAGTTGAGTGCCCATCATTTCCAATACTGATTGTACAATTGCATTGTGTTAAGTTTTCGTAAAGCATTGCAAAAAGCTGACTATGGGAGTTTAAAGGCGTCCTGACAAATCAGCACAGGAACCGGGACAAAAATCATTAAATAAAGGAAGTTTCCTGTATACATGGAACAGCTGGCCACGTAATTCCTGATGTGTTTCATAAACC